AATATTTTTATTTTTGTAGAGATGAGGTCTTGCTGTGTTGCCCAGGCTAGCCTTGAACTCATGGGTTCAAGCAGTCCTCTTGCTTGGCCTCCCAAAGTGCTGAGATTACAGGCATGAGCCACTGTATCCGGCCTGTTCTCAACCTTTAAAAATTGGTGAATCCTATCCTTCACGGCATGGGGGTCACTGGAGTATGTTCTCAGTTTTTCTGAATTTCCTAGGAGAGTAAAACACAGCTCTGGAGCTGAGAAGAGTTGATGGCTGGTACCCTTTAATCCAGCAGTCCCTAACATTTTTGGCATCAGGGATTGATTTCGTGGAAGACAATTTTTTCACAGATGGGGAGGTGAGGGGGAATCATCAGGCATTATTCTCATAAGGAGCATGCAACCTAGATCCCTCATGTGCAGTTCACAGTAGGGTTCGCACTTCTGTGAGAATCGAATGCCGCCACTGAGCTGACAGCAAATGGTGCTCTACTTGCCCGCCGCTCACCTCCTGCTGTGTGGCCTGGTTCCTAACAGGCCACGGACTGGTACCGGTCCATGGCCCAGGGGTTGGGGACCCCTGGATTAATCCATCACCATCTCTTCTGTTCTACTGAAAGAGTGAAGCTGGGGCATGCTCAGGAAAGCTACTGGGCAGGAGGAGCCACTCACACCCTATCTGTCATCAACTGTGGCTCTCTTGGGAAGGACAATCCCTAAACCTTGGGGACTTCCAGGGTGCCCTGGAGTGGTAATTTTTCCAGAATGTGGGGATGGATGGTGGGTTGATAGACCAGGTCTTCTTTGTCAAAATCCAAAAGCTATTTTTTAACCCTATATATGAGTCAGGGTCTCCCTTTGTTGCCCAGGTTGGAGTGCAGTGGTACAATCACAACTCACCATATCTTCAAACTCCTGGGCTCACGTCATCCTCCCCAAAGTTTCCAGAGTAGCTGAGACTATAGGAACACGCCAACATGCCTGGCTAATTTTTTGAATTTTTGTAGAGATGAGTTCTTGCTATGTTGCCCTGGCTGGTCTTGAACTCCTGGGCTTAATTGATCTACTGGCCTTGGACTTCCAAAGTGTTGGGATTACAGGCATGAGCCACCATGCATGGCCATTTTTACTCCAGTCTGGGCGACAGAGTGAGACTCCAACTCAAAAACAAAAACAAAAACAAAAACAAAACAAAACAAAACAAATTTTGTAAGTGCCTGTGTTGTAAAACTAAATAATAACTGAGATAAACTTTAACAATGGGGGTTGGCTGGGCATGATGGCTCAGCCTGTCATCCCAGCACTTTGAGAGGCTGAAGTGAGAGGATTGCCTGAGCCGGGGGGTTTGAGACCAGCCTGGGCAACTTGGTGAGACCTCGTCTCTACAATAAATCACAAAAACTAGCTGGATGTGGTGGTGTGCATCTGTAGTTCCAAATACTTGGAAGGCTGAGGCAGAAGGATCGTCTAAGCCCAGCAGGTTGAGGCTGTGGTGGCCGTGAAGGTGCCACTGCACTCCTCCAGCCTGGGTGACAAGAGTGAGACTCCAACTCAAAAACAAACACACAAAAAAACACAACAATGTGGGCTATGTTGGAAGGCTGAGGTGGAAGAATTGCCTGAGCCCATCAAGTCAAAGCCGTGGGGGCTGTGAGTGTGCCACTACACTCCAGCCTGGGCAAGAATCTGACTCAAAAAAAAAAAGAAGAAAGAAAAAGGAGCCATGAACACAAACATCGACAGTAGTTTTATTCATAATTGCCAAAACTTGGAAGCAACCAAGCTGTCCTCCTGTAGGTGAGTGAATAGACAAGCTGTGGTGTTCCAGAGGGTGGAATTCACTCAGGGCTAAGAAGAAATGAGCTGTCAAGCCAAGAAAAGACATGGAGGAACCCGAAATGTAAGTGAAAGAAGTGAACAAGCCCATGGGGAGGCTACATACTCTGGGGTTCCAACCACACGACATTGTGAAAAAGGCAAAGCTATGGAGACAGTAAGAGGAGTAGAGGTTGCCAGGGGCTGGGTAGCGGCTGGAGGTGACAAGGGGCACACAGAGGATACTCAGACAGTGGAAATGCTCTGTAGATACTATCATGGTGGCCCCATGTCGCCCTACATCTGTCCAAACCCACAGAATGTACAACACTGAGAGTGAACCCGATGTAAACTGTGGACTTTGGGTGATAGTGTTGTGTCAAGGTAGTTCATTGACTGCAACAAACGTGCCACTGTGTGGGGGGTGTCAATGGGGATGGTACTCTGTGTGTGGGGTCAGAGGTTGTGTGGGAAATCTCTGCACCTTCCTCTCACTTTTGCAGCTAACTTAAAACTACTCTAAATAATAGTTCTTTTTTGAGTTGGAGTCTCACTCTGTCACCCAGGCTGGAGTGCAGCGGCACACTCATGGCCACCCCAGCTTCAACCTGCTGGGTTCAGGTAGTCCTTTTGCCTCAGTCTTCCAAGTAGCTTGAACCACAGGTGCACGCCACCACGCCCAGCTAATTTTTTGATTTCTTGTAGAGACGAGGGGCCATGCACACAAGTTGCCCAGGCTGGTCTCAAAGCTGTGGGCTCGCACAATCCTCTTGAACCTTACAGGTGTGATGTACTGTTTCGTGGCTAGAGTTAGAGTCTTATACGCACTGTCACACACTCACAAATGACTTTCAAATGTATTGTGCAGACAGTGGAATTTTTTTTGCCCTTTCTTAAATACAGAGCATCTGCAAGTCAAGCTGCCAAAACTTTAACATTTGTACTTGATGACCTTAAACTTGAACTATAACCTACATTAAAAATTCTGTATTGAAAAAAGCCTCATTATTCTGGTTGACTTGAATAGAAAAATACAAAATGAAAGAGAAAACCAGGTGCACAAAGTTTTAGTTATGTGGGACATGTGGCACATATCTAAAGTTCCAGCTCTCAGGAGGCTGAGGCAGGAGGATACTTGAGCCCAGGAGTTTTAGGCCAGCCTCGGCAACCCATTTCTAAAAAAAATTAAATGAAATAAGTCTCACGTATGGTTCTTGAAAAATAAAACATGTGTCAGTTGCTTATAAAATGTGAAAACCAGTACTGAGTGAGGAAAGAAAATGTTGCTTGATTTCCCAGGACAAGAAGATGGTAGTTCTGATCCTGATCATGTGTATTCCTGAAAAGGGGTATCTTCCTTAGGTCACCTGGACAGGTGTGGCTATAGGCAGGTGCAGGGGAAGGAGTCCAAGGAGTGAGTCATATGGGTGGTCAATTCTAGAAGTTGCGAGAAACCAAGGAGCTTACAATACTGGTACAGTGCTTCCTTGAGTGCAAATGCTTACAGAAAACCGAATAATCATAATGTGAGAAATTTCAATCCCATTAACATCCAGAAGGACTTTTACTTGTGCATGAAGGATTAAGTGCTATGGAAATTGCTTTCCTGCTGATGTAAACAACTAGAAAAACCGAACATAATCTAGAAAACATTTTCAGACACAACAGGAAGCACAGGGTTTGGTTCCCTGAAACGGAAAGAAGGGAAACAAATAAGGTAAACTGTACAACTGTCTCCGTTTAATCCATGGAGGTAGTATCAGGCCACACGCTAGAAGGGAAAGCCCAAAGAGATCAAAGTTCAGTGAGAAGTCAGGCGCAATGGCTCATGCTTGTAATCCCAGCACTTTGGGAGGCCAAATGAGACTTTGTATTTACAAAAAAATTAGCTAGGCGTGGTGGTGCACATCTGTAATCCCACGAGGCTGAGGCAGAAGAATCGACTGAGTCCAAGATGTTGAGGTGGTGGTGTGCTGTGTGCATGCCACTGCACTCTGGCCTGGGAGGCACAGTGAGACCCTGACCAAATATATACATACATATGTATATATCTCCACAAAGTTCAGGGATGGCTGGGATTTGTAAGGCAGACTGAACAGTAGGAGCTGCAGAGAAAGTGCTGTGGAGATCGGGTCTTCGTTGGATACTAATATGCACATGCTGAAAAAAAGGGAACTCACTGGACCCAGTGGCTTACGCCTGTAAGCCCAGCACTTTAGGAGGTGGACGCAAGAGTCCGGGGATTCGAGGGCAACTTGGAGAGACCTCGCCTCCACAATAAATAAATAAATAAATTAGCTGGGCATGGTGGTGCATGCCTGTAGTTCTAGCTTCTTGGAAGACTGAGGCAGAGGGATCGCCTGAACCCAGCAGGTTGAGGCTGCGGTGGCCGTGAGTGTGCCACTGCACTCCAGCCTGGGCGACAAAGACTCTGATTCAAGAAAAAAAAAGAAAAGAAAAGAAAGAAAGAAAGAAAGAAAGAAAGAAAGAAAGAAAGAAAGAAAGAAAGAAAGAAAGAAAGAAAGAAAGAAAGAAAGAAAGGAAGAAAGGGAACTCAGGGTCAGGAAAGAACCACCAGAAAGCAATTCCTGGAGTTCAGACAGGGCTGTGAATAGCTTCCTCCTGTCAGAGTGGAAAGACCTCATAACACACAGACATCGAGTAGAACTCTCAGATAGTGTCTTGATAGTGAGGCAAAATTACCCCTAAACCAAAGACTGCACTAGAACCTAGAAAAGCTTAAAAACAAGACTTGAAAGGATCACACTGACTACAAGTAACTTCACTGCATGCAAGAACAGGCTGATGCTATTTAAAGAGAGACAACAGAGCTCAGCACACTACGATGTAAATTTTACAATGCTTGGCATCCGACACTAAAAATTACCAGGAATGCAAAACCGCAGAAACAAAGATGCATCCACAATCAGGACTGAGAACAGACCTTGGGATGTAACATGGCATCTCTAATTCTCCCTTGCCTTATAATAAAGCATCTTGTTTTAACTTTTTCCCCAAGTTGTAGCAGATACCAATATAAGTGCCATAGCAACCCAGCTATTAATGGACAGCTATTTATGGATGTAATAAGACACCGAAAGCTCAATTTTTTTCTTATTAGGGAACAAAAATGCCAAAGAAAAAACAAAGCCTGATACAGAAAGTACATTTTTAAATATATAATAAGACTCCATTTGCTCTGTAGGCGACTACATTTATTTAGAATCATATACATACAAACATTCGGAAGTTTTATGTTTCCTGGTTGATTGCCCTCTCATGTTAATTCCAATTAGCGATATCATTACTATACGTAAATGGCCCTGATGATGAGACCAACTATAAGAGAACGACTTTTTTCACCTATCATCATATCCTCTTGGCTTGTCAGTTCTGATGCAAAAATATCTTTCTGGAAAGGCAATTATTTGTTAGTCATGCAGGCAGAGACACAACCAGTTATGAAAAGCACTAGCTCTGTGAATTTACTGCAGCAGGGAGTATAAAGCATCACAATTCCTTTATAGATAAACTTTTGGAAAGCATGACCTAAAAGGATAATGTGTAAAGAAACACAACAACAATGTATTATTTCAAAATGTGCATTTAATGGCCATTCCATCATAATCAAGCAGAATCGCACTTCAAGACTATTATAGGCATTTCTAAGGTGCATGTTCAAGTTTCATTTCTTCTTGGCTTGCCGGAAGTGTTCTTGCAGGTCCAATTAACATGGAAGGTTCTGAGGCTGGTGGCCTCCTTCTTATGCACTGAAAGACGATATCCTAACAACGTCCCATATCTTGAATACATTAGAAATCTCAAGAGCTGTGTGCAATTTCAGAAAACTTAATATCAGTCATGAAAGACAGTTTTAACATAAAATTTAGGCACTCTATACTTTGGAATCGCCATAAAATATTCCAGCAAGAGTTAATGCACTTTGTGATTACACCTACTCAAAGATAATTCTCAATTAAAATCTATACTCATTAAATAACATTTTAAATTAGAGCCCATTAAATTTTGATAATTACTGTGAAACATTTGCAGCATTGTGTTGTAGTTAAATAATGCCGAACTACTTCTATTAATGACCCTGGTGCTCATCCTTCATGGTACATTTTAAACAGAAGATTCTAAAGCATCCACTGGTAAGCATCTTTCCCTTTTTCCTGCTAATGTGTGAATAAGAATGCCTGTGATCAACTTTAAAGATATTCTTCTATTTTCTGCTGTAGTGGCTTTCTTAGCATGCAAAAACTTCAGCAAAGAGGTGTCTCCCTGGAGACCTGGAAATACCAGTGCTGGCTCCTACACTCAGTTCATTTGCTCACTTTGCCTGTTGCCCCATCTGGGTTCCTGCAGTTCGTGCGGCTGGAATGGCTGGCACAGAGGTAAAGGGAAGGATAATCAAACATGTCACTCCACTCTTCACAAGGCCAAGGTCACCCAGGCCTTGTCCGACTTGGGGCAAAACTTGCTAATGTCTGCAGCGTGGTTCTGGGGTTTCCACCTCTTTGTCTGAAGGGTGAGGGGGTGGGAATGATGCCTGCCTACTGAAACATCATTGATTCCAGATGAGCTTCCTGGACTCGAACCTAATTTAGCATTGTTAGAATTCAGAACAGGGATGCAAGTTGTTCCTGTTGACAATAAGGTGAATTTGCTCAGTGGTATGCATTTATATAGCTCAGAAAACAACTAGAAAGCTTTTCGGAATCTTTAGACGATTACAATCTGTAAATTGACTCATCAAAAATCACCGACGACTAACATATAAAGATCTATCCAGAGAAATGAATTTGAGACTTATTTGACTATAAGTCATACAGATTATAGCACAGTAATTTCCCACAGGAGAATCTGGTATTTCATCAAGGGGTTTACTGGTAAATTAATTACATTGCTAATGTTTTCTGGCTTACTTGAAGAGATAATTAGCATAAGCAAATCATGAATGAGATGACAAGTTGCTTAACATGTTTCTGTTCATCGGATGAGAGGTGAGGCTGCTGTCAGACCTCTGTATGAGTGAGGGATAGGGAGAGAGAGGCGTAAGGAACGAGAAGTTGGTAACTTCTGTTGCAGCAAATACAGTCAGAAGCAGTGTCTGCTAGTTGGGAAACACTGATGTTCAATGCAAATCAGATAAGACTCACTTGAGTGCTAGAAATGAATCCCACTGAGAGGTGACAGAAGCCGGGAAACATAAGGAGATGAGTGTGGGTTTGGGAAATTCACGTGAACCCTCAGCCACTGCTCCTGAGCAGAGAGGGTGAGATGAACGCACGGAGGTGAATCTTAGCCGAGGCTGTGTCCATCCCCACCCAGATCTTCCTGTGGACATTCTAAACAACAGCTATCTTGCGATCGGGCCCGCGCTCACGACAGCACAGTTAAGGTTACAGTCCCTCTCTGGTGTTTTAGAATGGAGACTGCTTGCTCATGAGTGACACCTTCCAGGGTCTGGCCATTAACAGCTAAAATCTGATCACCTCGTTTTAATCGGCCGTCGTCTGCAGCTGCTCCCTACAAACAAGAAACAGTCCGGTTTAATCCAGAGTAAAGCAGTGTTTATTCAATTAATATTAAAATCCCTAACTTCTGGCTGGTGTGCACATAAAAAGAGTCACTTTCGAAACTACCAGTTGAAGTTTTTTCCAGGTAATGTTTTAAACTAAGAAAAATGTGGGATGTGCCGTTTGAGTAATAATGGTTGAATAGTAACCTTAACTATGAATCATCTAAATAACACACCAGTAGAAATGTACTGACACTCACATTTCAATATTCAGTAGTAAATGGAATTGGATGTCATATCATGTCATATTCATGGAAATGTAATATACAAAAAAGGCAGACAGAATTGAATCTGGCGTTAGTCTTACTGCCAATGCCATCATTAGATAGGGTTCCCATGGCATTATTAAGCAATCTGTCAGAAATAAATGTAGCCTTTAAATGGGTGAATTGTATGGTATGTGAATTATCGCAATAAAGCTGTGATATATATAAATCTATAAAAGTGTAGCATCGCTAACATTTTATATCATATTCAAAACCTTCCACTTTATCTTTGATCATCTAAATAGGTTTCTAAATGACTACTTTCATTATATACTCAGTCATGCATGGCTCCTCAAAATGGCACAAAGCAAGTGAAATTTTGGGTTTTTTTTTTTCATTCTAAAGCTGACTATCTAAAAATGCCAAGAAATTACTAGAAACACACTGGACTGGCAAGGGGAGCAAAAAAAAAAAAAGATTTACAGGTGGTTTCTTTATCTGCTGGGTAACTCTCAAAATCCCTTGAAAAGTAGTGCCAGAAGAGTTCTCTAAATGAAGCCAGACTCTGGGGAAATGAAAGCCCATGGCACCTGGCTCTTGACTAGCCCTTGACCGAAGGACCATGAGCTAAGAGGCATGAATGCTTCCAGATTTGTGTTCTCCTGCAGTGGGAGGCCCTGGGGTGTGGGGAATCAGCCAGAATTTTTCAGCTGTGAAAAGGGTGGAGTTTCTGTATGAATGTGCAATACAGAACTTTCAAAACCAGGTCTATCCTGGGGGCAAACCATACAAATCAAATCACTTGCAACTTCACTCAATTCCTTTAAGAAAGCAAGTGTTAACTGTCTAAAGACAGACTTAAACAAGTACCTCTAGTGGATAAAGTCAGAATTACTAAGCAATACTGATTTCATTAAATTTTTTTTTTTTTTGAGTTGGAGTCTCACTCTGTTGTCCAGTCTGGAATGCAGTGGCCACTCCCGGCCACTACAGCCTCAACCTGCGGGGCTCCGGCGATCCTTCCGCCTCAGCCTTCCGAGTAGCCGGAACTACAGGCGCGCGCTACCACGTCTGGTTAATTTTTTGATTTATTGTAGAGATGCGGTCTCGCCAAGTTGCCCAGGTGGGTCTCGAACCCACGGGCTCAGGCAATCCACCCACTTCAGCCTCCCAAGGCACGGGAATACAGGCTGAGCCACCGAGCCTGGCTATTTCATTAAATTTTACAGGCTAAGCTTTAAGGGCTTCAGTAAATCTCAGGTATCTGAATAAATTAGTTTGTTAAAAAACATGTTAAGTTCTTCAAGTTTCCACTTTTAGTAACACACAAAAAGGATGCTTTTCCACTTTCTGGGCTGTGTACTGTTCCAGGTACTGCAGTGTTTGCTGGATAATCACTTACTGACTCGTGGCTATGCTTTGATTTTATCAATGTGGCATTTATGGACTAAAGAGGAAAAGGAAATAAATGGCCTGAAAACATCCCTCGGGTTTGGAGTTGTGGCTCTGCTCCCTTGCTCTCTGTCCCAAGTTGGTCACTTAGCCTTCCAAGATGCTGTGATGGGTATCTACTATCTATCTTGAGGCTGGCTCTAAGCATCAAATGTATAACACACGGTATTTACTTAACATGGTAGCAGTATAATGACATGAAACTTGAAGGTCAAAAGCTCATGTTCCAGATTTCATAGGCTCTGAAACACTGCTTCCTATATTTTCAGAGCTGCTGAAGACTTTAGGCCAATCTCTTGCGAGCTTAGGGAAAAATTCAGTTGCTGAAAGGTACTAAGAACTAAGGTTGGCTTGGATTTTGAAGTTTTCAACCAATCAAACATCTGACAGAAAAGGGACAGACTTGACAGCGTGCTCATCAGATTGATGATGTCTTGAACTCCTGCATGCCTCACGTGCCTGTGACCATTCACATTTCTGACGGGGGAGGGAGGCCCCCCGTTAAATAACTTCTCAGTTGAGCAAGAGAGCTATTAAAAGAAGTTTAGGACACCACAAAGCTCAAATAAAAACCTACACCCTTCAAAATTTCTACAGGGGAAATGCTTAGCTTGGTGTCAGAATTCATTTCAGAAAAAGATTTCACCATTAAAAAAAAACTCCTTTGCTAGGTTTTGGTCTATTCATTTCCTACAGAAAACTTTAAAATTGGGATATATTGGTTTACTCTAATAAATTTTTTTTAAATCACCAAAGTAAAACTTATAATAAACTATCTAAATTATAACAACAGTGGGGCTATCTAAATAATAACAGTAACTACTATTTACATGGAAATATTCTTATATTAAGACTGCACTAAGTGAGACATTGGCTTGGGTTTGGAAATTTGTCCTTTATTATACTCAGAGCTTTTCATTTTTTGGTGTGTCTCACTTTATTAAAAAGGCCCGTTCTGTAAGAAGTAACACACACCAAGGGTCATCAATATTTACTACTAATAATGTTTCTACTTATGTGGGTACTTCCTAAAGGGGCCCTTTCGACTTGCTTAAGGACTTGCTAAGGTGTGGGGGCGGATTCTGCAGCCTTTCCTCTCTCCGTATCTTCACAGCTGGCTCTTTCAAAAGCAAAACACACCTAGGCTTAATAATGACCACAGCTACTTACGGTGTCAGGCGTGCCACAGGAGAGGGATGGTCAGTATATAGTGCGTGTACCTTGGGCACTGGCAGGCCGGGGCCTGGCTGATACCCACAATGTCTCTGAGTTGCCTTCCCGCCCCCCTTTTGCCTATCAGCAGTGTAACAGGTGTGTGTCTGGAAATAACATGCCTTCATCACGGGCTTCTAGCAAGACGAAACAGGTGGAAAAACCTGCAGCAGCCCAGTGAGGCCCAAAGCAAAGGCCACATGGCTTAAGGTTTTAGAGGTCAGGTCACAAGGTGGGCTCAATGAACAGGATCTTGTGTCTAATGTACAGTGTAGCTTTCTGGAAAAAGAATCTATCTTCCTTCTCTGGGAAAATAAAGCAGTGGGAGGTAGTTGGATCAATTCATAGACAAATGATTGTGATGAAACCAAAAGCGAAAAAGTTATACTATCAATCCTAAATGCTTTTTGGGAAGCTTCAAAATGTATAATAAGATTAAATTCCAATCCCCAAAACCACAATAGGCCAGGCGTGGTGACTCACACCTATAATCCCAACAGTTTGGGAGACAGAGGTGAGAGGATTGCCTGAGCCCACGGGTTTGAGACCAGCCTAGGCAACTTGGCCAGACCTCGTCTCTACAATAAATTGAGAAAAATTAGCCGGGCATGATGGTGCATGCCTGTAGTTCTAGATACCCGGAAGGCTGAGGTGGAAGGATCGCCTGAGCCCAGCAGGTCGAGGCTGTGGTGGCCGTGAGCGTGCCACTGCCCTCCAGCCTGGGCAACAGTGAGACTCTGATTTAAAAAAAAAATCACAATGAAGTTAAAAATAATTACTCTAAGAGCCATCCGGAGGCAGCAGTAGGAATAAATGAACACCATGACCTCTTCTAGTTAACTAGGATATAGGGGAAGGAATTTTAATTCCTAGAAACACTTTATTGCCCAGACTGAGTCTAATCTACTGGGCTGATTCTGCAACTACTTGGCACAGTACTTCCACAGAGTAGTGGGAAAGAGACAACATCTGAAGCGTGTGTCCTCAGCTTTGTCCTGATGTATGCACTGATTCCAGGTTTGCCCAGTGCAGGGCTTTCAGTCCCTGCCCTCCAGTGTCACCATCTTTTCTTGTTTTTTCTTGAGTTGGAGTCTCACTCTGTCGCCCAGACTGGAGTGCAGTGGCCGCTCCCGGCCACCGCAGCCTTGAACTGCTGGGCTCCGGCGATCCTTCCTCCTCAGCCTTCCAAGTAGCTGGAACTACATGCGCGTGCTACCACGCCCAGCTAATTTTTTTGATTTATTGTAGAGATGAGGTCTCACCAAGTTGCCCAGGCGGGTCTCAAACCCACGGGCTCAGGCAGTCCACTCACCTCGGCCTCCCAAAGTGCTGGGATTATAGGCTGAGCCACCGAGCCCAGCCCGGCACCATCTTTTCTTAAAGGAGAAAGCCAAATCTTGTTTCCAGCCCAGAACGATACTTCCAAGGTCAGTTTCCTACACTGTGTTACCGAAAGGGGGCATGCTTGAAAATCTGTGAACATCTACTTCTGTGATAAAGTCCGAAGAAAGAAACCCTGCTTGTGACTTCACTATTGAAGAAGAACTCTTCTTTTTTTTTTGTTCTCTTTTTGAACTCCTCTTTTACTAGTCTGGTGTGGGAACTTCCTATAAGATTCAAATTAAGTAAGCATACACGCACACATCCAGGTGTAACCCAAAGTAAAGCAAAGTAAAGCACTGCAAAAAAAATCTCACCTAGGTTTGATTTTTTAAAAATAGTACATTAAAAAAGAACAAAATACCTTTGCAAATATAGTCTTGACATAAATTGGCAGGTCTCCATGGGGACTTCCATAACCCCCTACAATACTAAACCCCAAGCCTTCAGAGCCTTTCTCCAAAGTAATAATCTTAGGTGGAGGTGTTCTGAAAACACAATGCACGCTGTTTAATTCAAGAATAGATATTGAGAGGGAATTTCATTTTAATGGAAAAACACAGATTTGAGATAGACTTTCATACTGCGAAACGATGAAGGTTCGTTTATCAAATCAAACTCTCAGCAGCAATCTAGAAATTTATTTTAAAATTTCCCATGTCATGTCAACTAATCACCAATACTTTTTATGTTTTAGGGGTTTCTCTTTTGTAAAACTCACTGCTTTCTAATTAAAAATAAAGTCATGATGCTGAAATTGTCAAAGCACTCTTCTATATGCTTAGTTTTGTTGTTGTTGTTGTTTGTGTTGAGGATCTCATTCTGTTGTCCAGGTTAGAGAGCACGGCATGATCCCAGCTCACCATAGCCTCAACCTCATGGGCTCAGTAGTCCTTCTGCTTCGCCTTCTGAGTAGCTGGGACTACAGGTGGGTGCCACTATGCCTGGCTAACTTTTTTGTAGAGATGAGGTCTCGCTATGTTGTCCAGGTTGGTCTCTAACTCCTGGGCTTAACCAATCCTCCTACCATGGCCTGGCAAAGTCCTGGGAATACAAGTGTGAGCTACTACACCCAGCCTTAGTATTTACTCTTAACCTAACAGTCTTCACATCATTGAAGAATGCGCATGGGGACAGAGAGGGAGCATCATCACCTTAGCGTGGTAGGAATCTGTCAGTCTTTAGGTGGGTTTTGTCCATAACGGGTAACAGCAGCCTGACAGCTCAGGACACTGCTGCTCCTTTTCTGCCCAAAGGCCCTGGCCACGCCTGCCCCATCACTTCCACCCGGGGCGGGAACTCAGTCCTCAAAGCCTGCCCCCAACGTGAGGCTGCCCGACTCCCTTGGGAGGGTGAGCCAATGCCCCTCCTCTGCACTGGTCCAGATCTCCATGACGATGACACTTCCATGCCGTGCTGTAATGACTTAACCGCCTTTGTCCACTACCAGACTAGGGACTCCTTAAATCCTGGTCATCCGGGTGTTCCCAGCACTGTGTTGTGCTTGTCACAAACTCAGGATCATGACTGTGACCATGAGAACTGACATCCAGGAAAGAAGAGAGAAACCAAGGCGAAGCAAAATGGATACAGAAAATCTGCTGCATATGTTTCAAAGCTTCGTCCAGTGTGGAAGTCTTCTCTTACAGAGACAACACGGCTAAAAATTAAATTACCTGTGTGGGCTCCAGTAATTTAACCTAGGCTCAGCTGACGCTGATTTCTCATTCCCAAATGCTACTGTCCGAGGGAAAAAACCTAAAGGAACTCTAGCATCCCTGGCCCTGTCTGACTTGCGGTAGGAGGTTCACGTTTGTATACTGGCCAGCATCACTTGTCTTGTGGCAACATGCATGTCTGAGAGGCAGTGTCAATGGCTATAAACTCAGTAATTCACGTGCTTAGAAAAACTTGCAAAATGGGGATCTGCGTGGTCTTTGGATATGCCATTCTGTCTCAACAGTCTTCCCTCTTCCCCTCCTAGATTTTGCCTGCCTTATTTTTGGGTTAATTTGCAGTTGGTTCACACTGATACCAGTTGTCTGTTGCTGTACTTACTGGTTATTTAGAGCTGGCATCCATAGTATTATTTGTCATATAAATTGTTAACTGTTTTGAATGCCTCCCTGTTTATTCCAATTCTTTTTATTTATTTAGAGTCAGGGTCTGACTCTGTCATCCAAGCTGTGGCACAATGACAGCTTACTGCAGCCTCGACCCCCTGGCCTCAGGCGATCCTTCCACCTCAGCCTCCCTAGTAGCTGGGACTACAGGCCTGGCTAACTTTTTGATTTTTTGTAGAGACAAGAGTCTTGCTATGTTGCCTAGGCTGGTCTGGAACTCCTGGGTTCAAACGATCCTCCCGCCTTGCCCTCCCAAAGTGCTGGGATGATAGGCGTGAGCCACCGTGCCTGGTCCCAATTCTTTTCAGACTTCACTTAAGAATTAGCTTTTCCAAGTATACTCCCTAATTGAGTTACACCCTATGTCCAGGGTTTCATAGGATTCTCTCTCCTTGAACTTAGCTCACCTACGATTACCAACTCCCGTTACCACTATGGATTTATGGGTCTGTTTTTCCAGTTCTCCGGCAGGTCCCAGAGGACTGGGGCCTTTCCTTACATTTCTAAGTTTGAGGGCTTAGGACCTAGCACCTGTACAGTGTCTAGCCTGAGAAAGGTGCTCAATAAATGTCTGCTGAAATAAGGGCGAACGATCCTTGGTGGCTGCAGAGCAATGCCCTCACGAATGAGGCTCCGCTTTCCACCACTTGGTGGCCTTCCGAGCACGTACAGTAAGAGCTGGCTGGTGGGACGGATTTGACTCCTGTCTCTTCTTTCACATACAGGCCCCACTTCCAAGGCTGCCGGAACGGGAACCTAGTTGCCCAAAGCTGTTTATAGTTAGTTCCCGGGGCTGTCTGATCACGAGAGATCTTTACCCTGTGCCTACTCAGTTAGCAAGTGCTTTCAGGGGAGAGGAAGGAACAAAGCCCTGCTCCTTGGTAGGCGACGTCAGATGGACTTTGTCTCCGTGATCTCACAATGTCATAACCTCCTTAACCAATTAGTTTTAATTTACTTTCATAAAGAGGACCAGTAAGAAAAAAAAGATCTCTAAATGTTGATAGATCATGAGTAATTTTTATTTTTTTTATTTTTATTTTTTTGAGTTGGAGTCTCACCCGGTCACCCAGACTGGAGTGCAGTGGCCGCTCCGGCCACCGCAGCCTCGACCTGCTGGGCTCCGGCGATCCTTCTGCCTCAGCCTTCCGAGCAGCCGGAACTACAGGCATGCGCTACCACGCCCGGCTGATTTTTTGATTTATTGTAGAGATGAGGTCTCGCTGCCCAGGCGGGTCTCGAACTCACGGGCTCAGGCAATCCACTCACCTCAGCCTCCCAAAGGCGCGGGATTACAGGCTGAGCCACCGAGCCCGGCTGATCATGAGTAATTTTTAAATTCCTTTGTGCTCAAGGTTCCTGACCTATCAGAAGCTGTGGAATTGTTACAAAACCATCCAGATTACAAGGGGAAGTCTCTGGATTTCCACCACCACGTCAAAGGGACACTACTTTTCCTAGAAGGTCCTGAGGTTTTGTTTTGTTTTGTTTTAAAGGAAAGGACTCTTGAGACTTGAACATGTTATACTTCTTTGCTTTTGTCATATTTCATTTTATTTACATTTTTGAGACGGGGGTCTCGGGTCTCACTATGTTGCCCAGGCTGGTCTTGAACTCCTGGGCTCAAGCAATCCTCCTGCCTTAGCTTCCCAAAGTGCTGGGATTGCAGGAGTGAGTCACTGCACCTGGCCTGTTTTTGTCATTTTAATGGCATAAGCTTTTTACTTTTATAATGAGAAAAAGGTAGCATGAGCTTCATTTAATATTCTTTCCTCAAGAAAAATAAACTCAAATATACCATTTAGGTTGTGGAACCATCAGGAAGAGGATGGGAATGGCCATGACCAAGAGATTCTTTTTTTTTGAGTCGGAGTCTCACTCTGTCGCCCAGACTGGAGTGCAGTGGCCGCTCCCGGCCACCGCAGCCTCGACCTGCTGGGCTCCGGCGATCCTTCTGCCTCGGCCTTCCGAGTAGCTGGAATTATAGGCACGCACTACCATGCCCGGCTGATTTTTTGATTTATTGTAGAGATGAGGTCTCGCTGCCCAGGCGGGTCTCGAACCCGCGGGCTCAGGCAATCCACTCACCTCAGCCTCCCAAAGGCGTGGGATTACAGGCTGAGTCACTGAGCCTGGCTCCAAGAGATTCTTCAAATGAACCATCTAGACCAGTCAACAAACATTTATTGAGCACCTACTAGTGGCCAGGCACTGCTGAGACTGAGGATAATAACTTTAGGCATTCTTTCTCAAAGGAGGAAAATCTCTGCCTGTCTGTGGCAGTATCACCCTGGGGGCCTTGTTAACATCAGATTTCTGGAATCTACTGCAGACCCCCTAATCATGAAATCTAGAAATGGGACCTGGAATCTTTCAACATACTCCTCAGATGACTTTCATGCACGTTCTCGTTTGAAAAACGCTGCTTTAATGAGCAACTGTAACTGCAATGACTGGTTTTCACGAAACATGCCAGCAAGCATAACATCAAGACTTAATCTCACAATGAGATTTTAGCTTGGAAAACTGAGGAAGCATGGTTCCTCGCACAATCAAGCAGGGTGCACCTGGGCCCTACATCTGTGGTTTCTTAGGGAAGAAGGCCCATGTCAACCTGACCGGATGCAGCGTGTGTGTACACCCTGCAGCAACGGTCTTTTAGAACTCACGCGGCAGAACTAAGCTTCGTGAGAAGTGAGGAAACCCCCGTGCCTTCTTGGAGACCTTCTAGAAATTAGAAAGGGTAATGTGCACGCTTCTCTCCTTTAGAGGGTTTGCTCTAGTATCTAGAAGAGTTCTCAGGAGCTTTGCCCACGCATGTAACAGGCCCTCTACCTCTAGAATACTCACTCTGCATCTTCCGGGAGGTGTTCGACAGAGGGAGAGCCAAGGTGGCAGCCGGTAGACATGCTCTCAAGCTGAGATGCTATGGCACTTATATTGGTATCTGCTACAACCTGGGGAAAAGTTAGAATAAGGGGTTTCATTACGAAGGAGAGAATTAGAGACGCCATGTTCCACCCCGAGGCCCATTCTCAGCCCTCATCCTATCCAGCCTGCCTGCAGCATTTGACGCGAGGGATTATTCCCTCTCCAATAATTTTCTCCGCTTGGCTTCCATGACACCACACTCACTAGTTCCTTTCCATTATTCTGGCCATTCCTTCCCATCTTCCCAATCTCCTTAAGTTTCTTATTTTTTTTCTACCTCAACATATTATCTTAGCCTTCATCTCTTATTCTGCCCCATCTCATGAATTTAAAGACCATCTACAAGGTCTGACAATTAACTTCGTGAACTCATCCTAGGAAAAATGTGCTATTCGCGCTCTCATGCGATCCGGTGCATTCAGGCTGCCATGACCCCGGATGCAGGGGCTGGCAATTGGGCATGGTGGCTCACGCCTATAATCCCAGCATTTTGGGAGGCCGAGGTGAGAGGACTGTCTGAGCCCACAGGTTCGAGACCAGCCCGGGCAACTTGGCGAGACCTCGTCTCTACAATCAAAAAATAATCCGGGCATGGTGGTGTGTGCCTGTAGTTCCAGCTACTTGGAAGGCTGAGGTGTAAGGATCGCCGGACCCAGCAGGCCGAGGCTATGGTGGCCACGAGTGTGCTACTACACTCTAGCCTGGGTGACGAAGTAAGACTCCAAATTTTAAAAAATGGTGTTACACACTTCATTGCTGAATATCAGGTCTCACTTTATCGCCCTGGCTGGAGTGCAGTGGCACAACCGTGGCTCACTGCAGCCTTGACCTCCTGGGCTCAGGCGGTCCTTCTGTCTCAGCCTTCCAAGTAGCTAGGACTACAGATGTATACCGCCATGTCCGGCTAACTTTTTTACTCTTTTGTAGAGACAAGGTCTCACTATGTTGCCCAGGCTTGTCTCAAACTACTGGACTCAAGCAATCCTCCCACCTCGGCCTCCCAAAGTGCTGGAACTACAAGACATGAAACACTGTGCCTGGGCCAGGTGCGGTGACTCATGCCTATAATCCCATTACTTTGGGAGGTTGAGGTGAATGGACTGCCTGAGCCTGCGGGTTCGAGACCAGACTGGGCAACTTGGCAAGAACTTGTCTCTATAATAAATCAAAAAATTAGCCTGGCATGGTGGTGTGTGCCTGTAGTTCCAGCTACTTGGAAGGCTGAGGCAGAAGGATCACCTGAGCCCAGCCGGCCGAGGCTGCGGTGAGCCATGGTTGTGCCACTGCCCTCCAGCCTGGGTCACAGAATGGGACTCTAACCCCACCCAAAAAAAAGACACTGTGTCTGGTCTTCCCTCACGTCAGCTTCCCTGGCTACTCCTATCAACATTTCCACACCAACACCCTGGCCCAACATTTCACTTCCCCAGCCCTATTTCTTATTTCCTTCTTACCATCATTGCTATAGAATAAACTGCATATATCTTAACTTATTTATCATATTTATTGTCAGTCACTTCATACTAAAATGTGAGGGCAGGAAGTTTATCTGCTTTGTTCACTACTGTAGCCCCTATCATACAGAACCGTGCCTGGCATATAATAGTAGGTGCTCAGTAAAGAGAATGGATGAATATCTCTGACTCCCTGAGATTTGCCTTTTATTTGGTCTTAAACAAAGGTATAGTAGAAAAATGCCATTGAAGCATTCACTTTGGCTAGGTGTAGTGGCTCATGCCTGTAATCCCAGCACTTTGGGAGTCTGAGGCGGGAGGATAAATGGAACCCAGGAGTTCAAGACCAGCCTGGGCAACATAGGGAGACCTCATCTCTACAAAACATCAGAAAATTAGCTGGGTGTGGTGGCACAAGCCTGTAGTCCCAGCTACATGGGAGGCTGAGGCAGAAGGATTGCCTGAGCCCAGGAGGTCGAGATTGTGTGATTGTGCCACTGCACTCTAGTCAAGACCTCAACACACACAAAAAAATTCACTTTGCATTTGTATTCTGCAAATAACATTCTAAAGCACTGAGAAGAAACCCAGTATATCTCTGGGAGTTCACACCAGGACTGAGTGGCATTCCAGAGCTCAGTTTCAGCCTGCCTGCATATCAGTTTCCTCATCTATTAAATGGGAAACATAAAAGCCTTCCTCGCTTCCTCATCCTGGAGTTTGTCTTCTGCCTCAACCAGTTACAGGACCTTCTTTCTCAAGAGCTCCTTGGTTACCCTGCTTCTGGGTTAGATCGACAGTCCTCCTTCTGGGTTAGAATCCGTATTGAGCAAGGACGCAGGGGACTTTGCTGCCCAGGAGTTTGACTTGACTGCAGTTTCAGAATAGGTCAACAGGGGGCACGGCTGCCTAAACCGCTAGCCTCTGCCAAGTGGAGGGAAAAGAGAAAAGCAACGGGCCGCCCAGTTGGATTGGAATGCATCTGGGGTGAAGCATCTCGTGCTGGGGAAAAACATAGCCAGGTGCAACTTGCAAGATCTTCTGGAAACACCATCACGTGAAGGAGGACTGAATGTACTAGGGAATACTGAGGACAAAAGACTCTGGGAGGAAACGACAGATGCTCCGTGACCACAGAAGTCTGCCCTCTCACCACCAGCATTCTGCGGTCTTCCACGGCAGGTGCATGGAAGAGTCACCTTTCCCCTGACCTCTTGGTGCTCACCATCCTCTTGACCTTCTCAACTCTGGCTTCCCTCCCCATCACCCACCCACACTTCCTCACCCCATGCTCTCCTGGCTCTCCACATGCTGCTGGAGCCATCTTTTCCATCTCTTTGCTATTCCTCCATGAAGCTCTCATGGCTTAGTCGTAGACACCCTGCCCACACGCTCAGGCTCAAGGGTCGGTACATTCCCATGGCCTTACACTCTAACGATGTGCTCGCAATCCCAGCTTAGTCTGTGAAATCCAATTGCCAAGGTGACACGTGCATCTTGATATCTCAGAATCCAGACCCTTGCTCTAACAACGCCATTCCCCTCAATTCACTTTTCATCTAGGTTCCCTCATTTTATTTATTTATTTATACTTATTTTTTTGCATTGGAGTCTCACCCTGTCGCCCAGCCTGGAGTGCAGTGATGCTCTCACGGCCACTGCAGCCTCAACCTGCTGGGCTCAGGAAATCCTTCCACCTCAGCCTTCCAAGTAGCTGGAACTACAGGCACGCGCCACCATACCTGGCTAATTTTTTGATTGATTGTAGACATGAGGTCTCACCAAGTTGCCCAAGCTGGTCTCGAACCCGTGGGCTCAGGCAATCCTCTCACCTCAGCCTCCCAAAGTGCTGGGATGACAGGCGTGAGCCAATGCGCCCGGCCAACTTTTATTTTATTTCTAGAGACAGGTTCTTGCTCTGTTGCCTAGGCTGGAGTGCAGTGGTGTGATCATATTTCACTGCAGCCTCAACCTCTGGGCTCAGGTGATCCTCCCACCTCAGCCTCCCGAGTAGCTGCAGTTACAGGCACACAGCAACTTGGAGAAAGAGTCTTTTTTCTTTCTGAGTGGAAGTCTCACTCTGTCACCTAGGCTGGAGTGCAGTGGCACGTTCATGGTCACTGTAGCCTCGACTTGCTGGGCTCAGGCTATCCTTCCACCTCAGTCTTTCAAGTAGCTGAAACCACAGGCACACGCCATCACACCTGTTAATTTTTCTGATTTACTGTAGAGACAAGGTCTTGTTAAATGGCACAGGCTGGTCTCGAACTCCTGGGCTCAGACAGTCCTTTTGCCCCTACCTCCCAAACTGCTGGGATTACAGGCATGAGTCACAGTGCCCAGCTACCAAGAGGCTATACTTTTTTTTTTTTTTGAGTTGGAGTCTCACTTGGTCGCCCAGACTGGAGTGCAGTAGCCGCTCCCGGCCACCGCAGCCTCGACCTGCTGGACTCCGGTGATCCTTCTGCCTCAGCCTTCCAAGTAGCCGGAATTACAGGCACGCGCTACCACGACCGGCTAATTTTTTAATTTTATTGTAGAGATGAGGTCTCGCTGCCCAGGCGGGTCTCAAACCTGCGGATTCAGGCAATCCACTCACCTCAGCCTCCCAAGGGCGCGGGATTACAGGCTGAGCCACCGAGCCCGGCTGAGGCTATACTTTTAAGAGTTCACGAAACCAGTCATACAAGTTACAAAACCAAAGTCATAGTTCCATTAGGGTAAAAATCAAAATTTTAAAAGTCTAGCTGCAAAGTATAAAAAAACACTTCAATAGCTCCGTCTTATGGAAAAACTCAAACCTGAAGTCCATTTGCTCACCCCCTTGCTGTGAAACCACAAAGGGGCCTCCCACACATAAATCACACTGAATCCTGGAGACCCACTGAGGGTCCTTGGGGTTGTCCAGGCTCCCACCTGTTTTGTAAGGTGGAACCCAAGGGGTTGAACGAGAAACGAGATTTTTCACTTGGTCTTTTGCAGGCAGACAAGGAGTGCACAAATCTGTCAGGACTTCACTGCCCTAAGACACCAGCATCTAGCTCCTCAGTTTTAAGAGGCGAACTGATAGGCCACAGAGTTAAACCTCCCTGGGGGCTTGACTTGTGAAATGGGATCATCTGATCTCCAAAGGGTGTGTCCAGCTATATATGAGAGTGTGTCTGCGAGTCCTGGCTCAGTCCTGCCTCTGGCGTGGTTTTCTCCCATCACCAAGGACTGAGGTATGGAGGTAAGGCTGGGAGATGTCTGAAGGCAAATAGGCTAATGGGCAGTTGGCTGTTTTTTTTTTTTCCATTTTGAGTTGGAGTCTCACTCTGTCACCCAGGCTGGAGGGCAGTGGCACGCTCCCGGCCACTGCAGCCTTGACCTGCTGGGCTCTGGCGATCCTTCTGTTTCAGCCTTCCAAGGAGCTGGAACTACAGGCACATGCCGTCATGCCTGGCTAACTTTTTGATTGATTGTAGAGTTGAGGTCCCACCAAGTTGTCCAGGCTGGTCTCAAACCCATGGGGTCAGGAAGTCCTTTCACCTCGGCCTCCCAAAGTGCTGGGATTATAGGCGTGAGCCACCGCG